CTGAGTTTGTTTAAGGCTGAACGTTTGGGGTGTCTCTGTGGGTCACAGCCAGGCCTGGGCCTAAGGCCCTGGAGGTAGGGCAGGGCACCGGCTGCCTGGAGCTGAGGCCCCTCCGCTCCCTCCGCTGCGGACAGCCCCCTTGGGGGTTGGTGGGTCGCCCAGGGGAAGAAAGGACGGACAGGAAGCTCTGAGGCTTCAGTCCCCCCTCAGCTGTTCCAAAGGTCCAAGAGAAGATGCAACTTCTAGCTCCAAGGTTCCCTGTTGACCCTTGTTTTGTCATCACTGAGCTTCCGGCCAGTTTCTTCAGGCTCTGAAGCACCAAAGGTGGTACAGGTGGGTGGCCAGAGCTGGAACTGCATGGTCACACTCCTCCACCTAGCAGCCCTGGGCCCCTCGCTGCACCTCAGTTTCCCCACGCCTGCCGGGTCTCCCCCCATCACCACCCCCTCCAGAATCGTCAGGAGAATCAAACAGCGAATGGACATGACAGGCTTCTGGCACCAGGAAGCCGCACCCGAGTGTCAGGACGATTGTTACCAGCACTGGACCCTCCCCGGGCCGGGAAGCGGCCCTCCCTGCGCGGGTATGGACTGGATTGACTCTGGACAACGCCACTGCAGGGGCGCCGCCACCTGGCCCTGGCTGCAGGCCCTCGGCTGGGAGATAAGTGACCACAAATCCTTTTCTGGTGGCGGCCTGACCCGGCGCGCTAACACACACCGACGCGCCCTCCCCGGGAACGGCCTCCTGAGCGGACCATCGGGAACAGAAGCCTGCTAGTGCGACTGTGCTGAGGACGTGGCCCCAGCGCGCCCCCTCCCCCTGCTGTCTCCAGCCTCCCCGGCCTGTGCTCCCCGCAGCCATTCCCTGTCACTGCTGAACAATAGGCCTCCTGGCAGCTGGCAGCCCGGCCGCCCCGCCGGCGAGGGGAGAGGGGAGCGAGCGAGCGAGCGAGGGAGGTGGGAGGCCGCCGGCGGGCTGCGAGGGGCTCCCAGCTCCAGGCACAATGGCAGCGTGCGCGCCTTCCCATCATGCGCACGGCCGTGCCACCCCCGAGCCTCGAAGGCTGGTGCTGGGCACCTTAGGGCCCCGCGCGCGTCCCACCTAGAGCTTCCGTGAAACCCGCGAGGCCTGGGCCCTGGGCCAGAGATGCTGGAGGAGGCCTCAGGATTCTCACCGGCCGCCGGGGAGAGCCAAGGCCGAAGCGCACGGCATGTACGTGGTCCTGCACCTTCCCTTTGCCCCTGAGCCAGCTGAGTCCCTGAGAGGGCAGGTGACTGGCCCAGGGTCACACAGAGCCAGGACGAGAGAACCTAGGGGGCATTCAGCTCTGTAGAGCAGTCCCAACTCTTGGTTCACTGCTGGCCCCACTGGGACATCTTCCTCCTCTTGTCCCTCTGGGTGGTGCCCTGGTGTGCCAGGAGGACTCCACACCCCCAGGAAGAAGAGGAGACGTGAAGCGGCTGTCCAGGGTCAGGCAAGTGAAAGAGGTAAAGCTCGGATGGCATGCCATCTCCTGACTCCCGCACCTTGTTCAGCCTCCAGTGTCAGCCTGCCTGTGGATGCCATGACACAAGGAGCAGTGATGAGTGCTGACAGGAGAGCGTGCTGAAGGGGTTACAAGAGTCATGGGGCCCCACCCACAATCCCAGCTCTGCCACTTGCTAGCTGTGTGACCTTTGGGCAATTGCTTAACCTCTCTGAGCCTGGACTCCCTCCTCTGTAAAGCAGAGGTGGGAGGAGAAACCTCAAAGGGCTGGGGTGAAGAGTCCATGAGATCATGCACGTCAGCACTTCATGGTGTCTGGCACGTGAGTGCTCAGTTAAGTGGTCACCCCGGGGACTATCACTGCTGATTCAGTCAAAGATTCCTTTCCAAGAGGGGCAACAGGACCTTAAAAGCAAAGATGGAAGAGGCAATAGGCACTCTGGGAGCCCAGACTGCCACACGAGCTTCAAGCACCGTGTCCTCAGTAAATAAAAAGCTGACCACTGTGATGACAGGCATGGTGTTAGGAAACGGCGCTGTCCCCACAAAATGTGCGTTTAGCATGAGGACGCCCCAGCTTTGCTTTATGGCCCAACATAAAACACCGCCCTGAGTGGAGGCCTGGACTTTAGCCCTGCCCACTGTCGTGTGTGCCACAGCTAACATTTGTGGACTTCTGTTTTTCATGGCCTAGAACTGCGTTAAGTGCTTCACATGGATGGACCCATTTAATCCCCACCATTGCAGGAGACAAGCTAGTTATTACCCTTGTCTTTCAGAGGAGGAAGCTGAGGCACAGAGGTGATCAGGAGCTCGCCCAAAGTTACAGGCTACAAACGATGGAGCACAATTCAAACCAGGCTGTCTGGTGGCAGAGCCAAACTCTGAACCCCGGTGCTATAAACTGTGTCTTGCCCTAGACAATAATCACGTCCCCTCCCTGTGCCTCGGCTTTCACATCTGTGAAATGGGGCCCTGGGACCAGAAGATCCATGTCTGAGGCTCCTCATAGGTCTCAAGCTCTCTGAAGATGTCCACTTTGGTGTGACTTTTCTGACTGCTCCGCCTTCTCTGGCCCTCGCACCCCCACCTCCAGCGCTCTGTGCCCTTGGGACCCTTGCCGCCACATCTGTACTGTCTTCGCTTTCCTGGGGTGTAGGTCCCAGTCTATGTAAGCCTTGGAGCCCAGGGACTGCAGCCTGGCCCAGCTGTGGACGAACACTGTCCTAAGCATTGCATGGTTTGCAAAGATTAGGGTTTGGCAAACTGTTTCTGTTAAGGGCCAAAGAGCAAATATTTTAGACTTTGAGGGCCATATGGTTTTCTGTGCCATTGTAGCAGGACAGCAGCCACAGACAACACACAGATAAATGAATGTGGCTGTGTTCCAATAAAACTTTACTGACAAAAACAGGCAGGGGGCAGGATTTGGCCAAGGGCTGCAGGTTGCTGACCTCTGGCAAAGGTGAACATCACAAGGTCGTTGCTCTTCAGAGCAGCAGAGGGACGTGGAGGAAAATGGCGTCCAGCTAACCTGAGACATGGCAGGACTTGTTAAGAGTGTTCGCAGAGGCTCGGAGCACCCCAGAAGAGGTTGGTTCTGACTGCGGAGAAGGCTTTATGGAGAGGCACTTGAGCTTAGCCTTGGAGTGATGGGTGGAATTTCTACAAGCAGAAGTGGGGGCCCAAGCAAGGGCACGCAGTGTGCTGGAGATGACGGCATCCAGAGGGCCAGGATGGGAGTGGGCCTGGGACCCAGAGAAGACTGAGTCCTGGCTTCTCTCATTCCATAGAGAAGGGTGAACTCCAAGGGTTTTTTTCCTTCTTTTAATCCAACAAATGTTTTCATGCCTTTGGAGGCATGAGATGACAGGCATCCGTAACTTGTGTTTTTCTTGCACTGTCAACATTTTCAAAGAGATTTAGGAGCTATGACTTTATCTTATCCTCACAAGTCCAGAGAGATCGAGCGATTTGTGATTTCTATCTCTAATTAACAGCAGATGCTCATAATTCTAGAGACAAACCACTCTCCTGAGCGAGAGACTCTTACTTCTAGCTGCCTAATGAGTCTCCACCGGGATGTCTGGAAAGAGCTCATCCTGTCCTTCTCCCCCTGAGTTTGCTGGGGCTGCCGTAACGAAGTACCATGAACTTAACAACGGAGTGGCTTAAACAGCAGAAATTTATTGTTCTGGAGGCTTGAAGTCAGAGATGGAGGTGTCAGCAGGGTTGGTTCCTTCTGAGGCCGTGAGGGAGAATCTATTCCATGCCTCTCCCCTAGCTTCTGGTGGTTTCCTGGCCATCTTAGGTGTTCCTTGGCTTGTAGACACATTACCCTGATCTCTGCCTTTGTCTTCACAGTGCTCTCCCTGTGCACTCGTCTGTGTTGAAACCTCTCCTTTTGATAAGGACACTAGTCATACCACAATAGGGCCCACCCTAATAACCTCCTTTTAACTTGATTATCTCTGTAAAGACCCTGTTTCCAAACTAAGGTCACATTCTGAGGGACTGGGGGTCAGGCCTTCAACCTATCTTTTTTGGTGGGCACAGCTCAACCTGTAACACCTCCCCAACACTCCTCCCTCATCACATTCCATTGCTGATTGATTGGAACCCTCATTTCCCAGGTCCCTCACACCCAGCCCCCTCCCCTAGCCAGCTGGTATGGTGGCCCAGAACTGCCTGGACTAGGCAAGGCTGGATCCCACGACTCCATCAAAGATGGGCCAGCTGCCGAGGAGGATGCACAGGATCTCCTCCATTAACCTCTGAAGATGGGGGGGAGCAGGGCCAGTTGTATAAATCACAGGGGGCTGCTGGAGGAGGTGCAGCAAACGCGTGCGGCACTGGCGCTTTGAAACGTTGACTCTCGAACCAAGGATGTAAGAGAAACAAAGGCGGCAGGTAGAGTAGCTAGGAAGCAGGTGCAGTGATCGGAGGCAACAAGGGGACCTGAGCTGGGGAAGCTGTGGTAGGGATGGAAAGGAGGTGGTGGGGGACCTGTGAATATTCGGGAACAGGATGACTGGCATTGGAGGAGTGGGGGCAGCAGAATCACACCTGGGAGGAAGGTGACAAGGCCAAAGAGGGGCCCAAAGGGGAAGGATCATCCCAGTGGGAAATGAGGCTGTTTTAGAATGCGCTCAGGGTGAGACGGCACGGCCTGGCAGATGCTTAAGTCCAGGGCTCGGGAGAGAGGCAGGAGCTGGAAGCAAGTTTTCAGAGTCCCGAGTTGATCAGATCCCCTGGGCACAGCAAGCTGGTCAAAGAGCTGGTCACTGACCAACCAAACCCTGGACAAAAATGATTACAGAGAGTTGGGGGAGCAGAGTTCGAACAAGGAGAAAGGCCCAAGAGGCAAGGGAGAACCAGGAGAGAAAGGTGTGTCTGAGACCAAGAGGCATGAGAAGGTCCCCAGCTCCACCTCCAGCAGAGGGAACACGACGACTCCTGACATCCGAGCTGGCCGAGCTCCGGTGAGAAGGAAACTGCACACGCGCCTCACTCATCTTTTAACTGTTTATTGTATAATATAAAACTACAAAAGTAAGACTGCTCATTTCCATGTACATTTAATCTGTCCAATTGTTTAGATTACAGCCCAAACCTACACGTGAATACAGCCATCTGGGTTCCGATGTAACGTCTGTAATATTGCATAGAAAAGGCACAGCTCTCAGGTCTGTGGGGGAAAGGTTACACCTCCTTTTTTGACAGAAGCCCTCCTCAAAACACCATGCACCAAACACACCACTATGTACATCTTTTCCAAAATCTTGGTTGTTTGCTTGTATGGATTGCACTTCTCTTCTAAACTTGTTATCCCCAAAAGATGTCCAAAATTTTTATTGGCTTTGTCTGCAATCGCATTTGATCCTGGCCAATTTTCAAGAACCATTTAGACTCGTTCTTAGAAGCACTGAAAACAACTGTACACAAGCAGGACGCACGCACCTCGCTGCCATTGGCAGGTACCAGGAAGTTAACCATTTACAGCCAGAACGGGTTAAATAAGCTCTTTTCAATATTTTCAGAAAATGTATAAAGGTCCAATTTGTAACAGCAAGGTTTTGAAATTAAGACAATTCATATGGAGAAGGACAATCGCTGCACAAAGCAGAGTCTCTTAGTTGTTTTTTTACATCTGTCATTTAAGAAGGCTGCCCTGCGGGATTCATAATTCATTGTTTACCACAAAGGTGGCTAATAAATTTAGGCTTTAAAAACGATCCGTAAATTGATACTTTGGCTCTTTGGAGCTTATTTACTTAAGAAATTTTCCTTGATTGACCTCAGGGCCGCTGGGACGCTCCGAGGGGCTATGGCCATCAAAAGCTTAATTGATAAAGACACTGGAGGTGGAGCAGGGGCCCAGCTCGTTCTCAGCCTCTGATGTGAACAAGGGTGTCAGTGTGGTGGCCCCGTCTGTCATAAAGAGAAAGTGCTACTAGAAACATGTTTAAAAATATCAACCCTTTGATGCTTGATTTTCTTAAAAATTTGGAGGTATTAAAACATTCCTCATCCATACCTTTTGCATATTTCAAATAGACCCATATTAGAGAAGAGAGTAAAAATGAATGTGGACTGTGCATACGATGAGAAGACCCAGGGGTCTGGCTCGGACCCCCTTTTAATACAGATTGACATTCCTACAAGAGAATACATTCCTACCATACATTCTGCACATGTTACGATCCAGATGTTGTTAGAGCTCCACAGTAAAATAAATATATTTACACAGAAAAAAGGAATAAATAACTTATGAAAAAAAATCACTTCAAATTCAAAGCTCTTATTATTCTGCTCTCGTCTTGTCACTTCATTGCACATCACTGTCAATAATTGTCCTCTCCCAGCCCCACCCGGCACGTCTTTCTCATGAAGGCACCTCAAACTGCCTGCCTGGCTTACTGAATGCCACGTGATGTCCTCCAGCACCGGGAGGGCACTGCTGCCAGGTGGCATCTGGAAGCACGTCCCACAGTCAGACTGGGACTCGGAGATGGCACACAGGCTCACGTTCTTCCCTGTTGGGACATCACTTTGTAAAAATAAGACACAAAGATAACTTGAACACTTGATGGTTTTGTTCTTTTAAAATGGGCCACTAACTTCCCCTATCCTCCCCATTAGACCTTGAATATCAAGCATTTACGGCAAGAGTATCCAGAGTTAAAAAGCATCTGCCTGCTGTTCTCGAGGGTTTTGTTTTGATTCTGAAGCCCAGCCTTACAAACACGAGAGAGTCGGAGAACCACGTCTGGGCAACACTTCGCTGTGCTTATCTGAACTGTTGCCCAACATATGGGATTTGTTTAAACACACGATTTGCTAATCCACCCAGAGTACAGTTGTTCTAAGTTACTGTAAATCAGCCTTTAACAATGGCTGATCAGCCGCCCTTAGCCTGTTATTGTTGGGCATCATCAACACTATTGTGTGTGTGCACGTATGTGTATGTGTGCGGCAGGGGGTGAGTCGGCTGGGTCTTCCAGTTATCAAAAGCATGGCGTCTGCACTGACTTGTTCTCCATAGGAAAAGGAAGCTCTTAAAACGGACAGGCACAGTGACACCGGAAGCATCTACAACAACCCTCACCTTCGCTATCTGGTCCCTAGTCCTACCAAAGGAGGTGACACATCTGAAGCAGCACGAGGTGTTCCGGTGGAGGTGGGCTGTAGGGGAACAGGTGCAATTTGATCCGTTTCTCACTGTTCTGAGTTGATAAGTAGCCTTTAAAAACACATTCAAGTGGGGGGGGAAGTAAATTAGAATGTAGAAAGATTCAATCATATCATACACGAATCTTTTGCTTAGATGAGCAGTTCCTTCATCACAAATGTAATTACTTCCCCATGTGCATTATAAAAATAAAACTATCTATGGCTTGTTTAAAGTGCCATTTTATAAAGCTGACTTTTTTAATTGGCCAGAAAGACTCAATTTTATCCATGGCAAGAAGTGAGCAGAATTGGTGACTCAATATTGACAAATGACCAACAACAAAGACAACAACAACAACACAAATCCCATAATTTAAAAATTCTTAAATAAATATAAAAGTTATTCCTAAAGAAGCCATCTGCATTTCAACAAATATAGGTGGTAACCAGCTAAAGTACCATTGGAAGAAAGAAAAAAAAACGAAACGAAAAGGCCATAAACAATTTCGGCAACAGGCATGATACATTGCAAATGTTTTAAAATTAAATGTACACCGCTAGGAACAAAGAGCTACTTCTCAAGTGTCCTGGGGGGGGCGGGGGAGGGGGAGGAGGAGAAACATGCACAGAAGGTCCTGTCTGTGTATTGGGGTAAAACAGCCTTGCAAAGTGTAGTTAAAGCAGTTGATTCAAGAAAGTAACCAGATTGGAAGCCGTGATGTAATGGGACCGACTCCAGGTTCAAGAGTTACACGAGTGCACCCCAGGCTGAGCCAAGGTGAGCAGAGCTCACTGTGGTGATCATGAAGATGCCATTTCCAGCACTTAGCAACAGAGGGAATGAGAGCTCTAGGGAAGGGAAGCTGCAAAAGACAACTGAGCGACATGATGGATGCCTTCTGGGGGAAGATTTTCTTCTTTACGAGCCTTAAGCATTGCGGTACGGTTTAGTTCCGTGAAGAGGTTGGTTGCTTTTCATAAAATTTTGTTCACGTGTAAAATTTCACGTCATCATAAAAATTACGCCAAAAAGGGAAACATTTGGGTTTTCGTTTAAAAAAAATAAAAACAATTAAAAGCGCAAACTTGGCATAGATACAGTGAGTATTCGGTAGCCTTCCTCTCAAAAGAGGAAGCTAAAGAGAACCATCACTTAAACCCCCCCGAGCTTGACAGTTGTCTCCCGCCAACCGCTGACTGAAAATTTGATGAGCAGACGTGGCTCTGGCTCCGGAAGTCACCGTGCTGGCGGGTGTTCATGCCAGGGGGTCGGTGCTCCTGAAATTTGGGTGTGATATCGCCTGGCCCTTCCTTAAAGCACTGTGTGTGTGTGTGTGTGTGTGTGTGTGTGTGTGTGTTTGCATTTGGGGACATCAACTGCAGACTGATTTGATCCAATTTTCTCTTTGCACCAAACACATATAAAACATTACAACTCTATAAAAGTACAAGTGCAACTTGTACATCTGAAGTTTGCAGGAACTAGGTGAGCAAATCCTATCAAAATAGCTATCTCATATGTATAAACAGCATTTGTTTTTAGAAAAACAATATCATAAACTGCAGAATCTGTACAAAAATATAAAATAAATTTGGGCAGCAGTTTCTAAACAGCCATGTAAATGCAACACTTATGAGGAGTAGTTAATGCCTCTAAAAAGGCTGAATTGCCAAGTCAACCTATACAGGGCGAAAATGCCAGAAAAGGTACTGAGATTATCTAAATAATATATATATATTTTTTCTTTTTTTTCTTTTTTTACCTCTTGCAATAAAACTTATAGAAAAAATAGACAAATATGCACATGCAATTTACAGCTTTTCCAACTTATTCCTTGTGCTTCACTTGAACTGTTTATTTTTGTCATTCAGCATAGCAACATTGTCTTCCAATGTATTCTTTCCTATTCCAGGGTAGCAGGTCTCTGAGGAACCACTCCGAAAAGCATATTAAAAGTGGTCGTACTTGGATGAAGGCACTCCAACTCTGCTCAAAGCAAAAACTAGTGTGATCCTTTTGTAAAATGTTTCGTTTTCTCTGAAAAAGGCAAGCAAGGGTGCATGCACAGTGCGGAGAGCTGTCAGGGTGTGGGACGCTGGCAGGGTCTGGATGGGCACAGTCACCGGGTCCCCAGGTCTTAGGACCCGACGAGCACCTCCATGATGTGGTCCAGCTCTGTGAGGTCCATTTTGAAAGGCTGACTCGGGGCGACGGGCTGACTGCTGTAAGGAGCCAGAGTCTTGAGGAGGTCGTCGGCGGACACCGGGGCCATTTTTGAGGCTGTCCCCGACGTGGACGTGCAGGGGTCAAAATCATACATCGACGTGTCGATGTCGGCAAACAGGATGTCGTCCAGGGTCAAGTCTGTCAGAAAGCCTGTGGACGTCGTGATTTCAAAGTTCCCGGGTAGAGAGTCCATCAGTTTCGAGTCGTCAGGCCGGCCCTCCTGGAGCCCCTCGGGTTTCTGGAGGCTGGACTCGCTGGAGTCCCCCTTCGGGCTGTCAGTCACTGCCACGGTGGTGGCCTCGGTGGAGGTAGATGTGGGACAGAGCTCCTCGATCTCGTCCAAGGCCGAGGAGAAGCTGTCCTTCTCCGGTGGGAGGGCTGGAGGGGAGACTCTGGCGGGAGCAGCCGGCGGCATGGCCGGGGAAGTGCAAAAAGTGTCATCATCGTCCTCGAGCAGCGAGGCCGGGGTGAGGCAGGCCTCCAGGGGCGTAGTGCTTCCGAGGTCGCAGGGGTGCGCAGAAGGGGACGCGGGGTGGCTGAGGGGGGCCGGGGCCTCTCGGTAGCTGTCGCTCAGCGAGTCGGCCGGCTGGGAGGAGGCGGGGAACACAGGCCTCAGGCTGCCTTCCTGTTTGAGCTCCTCTTGGATCCGCCTCAACATGTTGTTGATGAGCACGGTCTTCTGCAAGCTGGGCTCTGTGAGGGGCCTGTGGTTATAGAGTTTCATAAGGGAAATGTTGAAGATAGTCTGGCGCTGTAAGGTGTAAGACACCTTGGACGGACCGTCGGAGGGAGACACGATTTTGCCTTCCAGCCCATCTTCATGCTCGTCAAACTTCCGTTTTCCTCCTTTACCCAACATATATCTGCAAAGGAGAAAGGGAGGAAACGGAATTAATCACCCGAAAGCTAATTCCCACCGTAAAACAAAGACGCTGATTCAGAGGTCAGGACTTGGACTTCAATTCCTTGCCCATGGTTAGTGAGAACAGACTGATTAACTGGGGGAAGACCTTTTGGAATAAGAGAGAATTGGGAAATCTACGTTCGTATGCCGGTGGAGCAATTTTTATCACTAGGTAGTCTGGTGAATATATTTCTTGAGAAATGTGTACGACACAGACAAGTTAAACGTTACCATGGAAACCGTGATTTTGACTTTCTCAGCTCGTGTGCCTGCTTTCGCTTGCATGCCTAACATTACTATGCAGGTTCAATTTCCCTCCCCCAAACCCATTTATTTTTAAAGCTCAAGAAAACACTTACAATGCTAGGACCTAAAGAGATAAAGGTGTCAGAGATTACAGGTTGACCACATCTTGAACAATTAAAAGAACCAAGCTGGAGAAGGGGGAAGAGGTACAATTTGGGCAGAACTGTGTGTGCTTTCAATGTGCCTTTTCCTTGCTCATTATGCATACAGTCCTTCTGTCTGTTTGGTGACATGTGGTAAAGCACTCGGCCTGTGTTAAATGACCAGTGTGATTGACCTGCCACAGCTTTTCAGTCTAGAATCAAGAGGAGGAATGTGGATTTCCCAGCCCGAGTTTTTCCATGACTTGATTTCACTGTGTGCAGTTATGACTGAATGCCACTGGACTAATTTAAAAAGTAATTTGCCCTGATTATAAGCATTGCTCTTTGGGTACTTGAGATGTCTCATAACAAAATACCTACAGATACAGATGTATGTCGAAGCAGCGACGAGCTCGGCTCTCAGAACGTGAGCGTTTGGGAATGGGTTGCATTTTAACTCCCGCCCCACCTCACCTGAGGCTCACAGCCTGGCTGCCTCGCCTCTTGCTCTGCCCTGAGTGAGGACGTCCTCAGCTGGCTGCGCCTTTTGGAGAGGGGTCCCTCTTCTCAGAACTTCTACCAACTGAACAGAACAATCTCAAGTCCACTGCCCTTTGCCTCACAGACCTCCCTTCTACCCATTTAATCAGGAAAGCTGTCCTTATGTTGTCCAGAGGGGGAGACGTGGTTCTAATTAAGCCTGGCCCCTGCCTTCTCCCTCACCTCCTCTACGACACTTACCCATAGATGCGTGTTAATCCTCTCCTCAGTGCCACTCACTCACTCTCGTATCTTCATATACAAGTGAGTGCTGTACAGTGATCCAATTTTTCTTCTAAAAGTGACTCGCCTTTCACTGAATTGCTTCAGCTGATTTTGACGGCGCCTCAGTCAATCCTTTACTACCTCATTCCGCATCTCTGCTGTCCTGGGCACGGGCCAGAAAGCGCGGAATCCTGCAGACGGATAAAGCCTGGTCTTCACGGGGCTGAGTATCTTCTCCCACACCTCAGTATCATTTTGAATTATGAGTCTCACCCCAAAGGAAGAAGGCTAACTATAAGAAAACTTCACAGAACTTCCCTCCGACACTTTGCTAAAGGAGGCCACACTGTCCCTCAAGGGGGCCAGACATGCAGGTGGCCAGAGAGCCTGGCACACAAGTCTCATGGGGCGGTGTGGGGGACTGCCTTCATGTGCCTCAGTCTCCAGGAGAGAAAGGAGACAGCTGCAACCCGTCAACGTCAGACTCAGCTTGAGAATTTGTTAATGCTCATAAAGAATGTGGAATTACTTGTCTGAAACACTTTCTCTCATTTTGTAAACATTAAGAAAATGGCTGTCAATCACTAGGACCAAAGACCAGTCCCATAATTAACTGCTCTCCGAGGCAAGGAAGGGTGATAGGAACAACTTGCTTATCGAATACTTCAGATGAAAGAAACATTTCCCGCTGCTCACACGTCGCCCAGGACACTTCCTGTCTCGAGTCTCTGTGCCTGTGCAACTTGGAGCGAATCAGAGAAGGTGATTCATTTCACATTACAAAATACTTTTCCACTTTATGCAGAAGTGTTACCGGACAACTGTTTTCAAACAGAGAACTGTATTCACAATTATACTATTTGTGTTTGCTTACAACTTAAGCATTTACATACTTGCTTCCAGAAAGCTTCCTCTTTTGCCAAAGAGCTCACTAAGGTACACTTAATTCCCATATGAAGCTGTTAGATGACGTGCATTCTATGGAATAATGTGATCATATCCAATACATTTAAATGTGCGTGTGAGAACACAAAAATGCATACACATACCCTCGGAAACAGTGTTTCTCAAAGTGTGGTCCATGATGAGGTAAGTAGAGATACTGTATTAATTAAAAACTTTTATAGAAAATTTACAGAGTAATTGTATGTCTGTAAATCTAATTTAAAAACGAGGTTTCTATTTTAACGTCTCTGTCCTTTAATCTCATTTCCTAGTGACTGTTTTTATTATGTTTCACTAAAATATTAGTCTATGAAGGAGGAAACAAACAAAATGGTCCTTCATCACAGAAAGTTTGAGAAGCACTGTCCTAAAATGTAAACTGAAGTCACAACTAAAAGCAGGTTAGTAAGCTCAGCGCCACTTTCAATTTTTCTTGGTTTTCTGGAGGAGAGGTAACACTTGGCTAAGACTTTTTTCTTTTGGTCTCGATATAGAACTGTCTCTTGAAGACTTGCTGCCAAAATAAACAACAGGACTTTCTCAATAACTCACATTTCTCTAGAAATAATCACTGAATCTACAGAACTGAGATATCTGATAAGCACGCAGTCCTCCAGGCCTTTAGCCGAATTCTCACAGCTGAAGGAGATCTGTGGAGATCTTTGCAGAGAGATGTCAATGTGGGGAGCACCTAATTTCCAATTAGAAGGATCCAGCTGGTCATAGCTGTGTGATAATCCTAATGATTTGGGAAAAGCCTGATAAAACATTTGTAATGCTGTCTGGAAGGGGAAGGAGGAGGGCCCCTTGTAAGCAAGATCTGTGAGCAGGAATATTTAGACAAATCGAATCTTGGATGCTTTTCAAATGTGTAAATAGGACCCATGATGGAGTATGTCTCAAAGCAAGTTTGCCCTCATTTCTCTGGTTCATTTTATGAGGCAAAACTGGCTGCACACACCCAGTAAGATTGCAAAATCCACACAATCTTGATTTGTAATCCTAATTCTATCTAAATTCTTATAGAAAGGAGTAACATGCAACATAAAATCTAGTCCACATTTTTATTTTAAAAAATTTAAAAGTCTTAAAACATTAAAATTTTCCCAATGTTTGTGGAACACAGTTTCGAGTCAAGTGCTCCCACTCCCAGAAGCGGGAGGGCGGTGAGAAGAGCGCTCCCTCCCAGGGCTGTAGGAACACCCACCTCTGGGAGCAGGGCACCATTCAAAGAAGGACAGCCAGCCTCTCGAGGACCCGACGGCAAGAAGCCAGGCGGGGTCTCGGGCCTGAAGTGCTGGCTGGCCAACGCCAAGGCCGGCTGGCTCCGCAGAAGCCGCTTCCCTCAGGCACTCCAAGAAATAACAATAGCTCTTTAAGCACGCTATTGGAGAGGCACGTGACCTTTTAAAAGGCCTCGCTAGGCTGCAGTCTGAAGATGAAGCAATGGCTGGGGCTCACTGCAGGCTTCAAGGTAACACTAGTGAAGGGGGCATCTGCTGTTCTGGCCTGAAGGGCCCCCAATTGTGGAACACAGACTCGGGATGATGGCCTGGAGTTCACTGAAAGGCGGGGCTTGTGACAAGTCCGGTTTCTAGGCCGCCCTGAGGCTTGACACCCCATTGTGTCTCCTCCCTTGGCTTGTGAAGACCTGAGCCCAAAGCCCGTGCTTTCTACCCAATCTTTCAGTCAAAGTCCCAAAAGGGACCCGAGCTTCAGGGCTGGTTAGAGACCCCCATATGGAGGAGTGAGGTGGGTGTTCCCTCCCTTTTCTGCCCACCCAACTGGGCCTAAAACTAACCACAGGCACTCTCCACTGGCTCTTAATATACGGTGCAAGATAAAACACCCTCCTCCCCAATACACTTGTTAGAAACAAACTCCTAGCACTCTGACTTTCTTTGCATAAATTTCAGCAACTATAACTGCAGCAAACAGTTTTGAGAATAAAGATCAAAACTCATGGGTAGCAACAGAAATGAAAACTTCTCTTCCGGAGTTTTCCAGGAAGTTTAATACTGAATAAAACTCTCTCTATACACCAAATCTGGCTCTCAAGTGTGCAGCTTTCCCCAGGAAGGACCCTGCCCTGAAAAGCTACAACCTGCTTGAGCAAATGATCACAGGTAACCAATGCCACTCAGAGATTCCTGAGCAGAAGAAGTACCAGAGGAACAGAAGACGACAGTACCTATCTGGGAGTCTACAATGCCAGAGTCCGAGGGACTCGCATGGTGAGGAACCCGAGACTGTTACAGACTAGGCGGATCGGGGAGGCTTCTGGAGACAGGATTTGAGATCTATATTTAAAGTGGGATTGTCTCTTAATGTCTGTTTTCCACTCAGGACAGTAAGCCCCACGAGGGCAGAGACTGTTTCATTCATCTCTGCATCCTCAGGATAGGGCAGTCCCTGACACAGAGAAGATGCTCCATAAATCGTTGCTGAATAAATGAATGGTAAAATGGAAACAACGGGAAGAGACACTGAGGGACTGCCAGAGAAGAGTGATAAAACGAAAGATGGGAGGGGTGTGTGTCTTTGGCCCTGAGTGTGATCTGTGCATGGGAGGGAGGGCATGAGAAAGGGGAGAGCTAACGGGCCTCAGAGGTGACTGCTGTACAGAGTGGACCTGGGCAAGGAAATGCGCTAGGACCAGAGGCGCAGAAGGTGGCAGGGCAGCTCCAGCTCAGAGGGCTCTGGTGAATGCCTCTGTCTCACTCGCTAGTTCTTGAACTCGGTGAGCATCAGACTCACCTGGAGGGCTTGTGAGCACAGAATGCTGCCCTCCCACTCCCCAATGTTCTCAGCAGGTCTGGTGTGGGCGCCTGAGAATCTGCATGTCCAACAAGTTTCCAGG